TACACAGGGTTGGTGGATATATAAACTGGTGCAGTCCCAACTGGGGTTGGTTCCTCAGGTTAGTAAAAATAGAACAACCACATGGTCCAGCCATGCCACTCCTTGGGTTTACCCCTGAGGGGAACTAAGTGAGCACACTGCAGGGCACATGCACATCCACATTTGCAGAGGTGCTCACAAGAGTCGATGCATGGAATCGGTCTGTTTACCTATCAACAGATGAATGAGTAGAGAACATGCAGAATATATACACAACTAACTTTTAATCTGCCATACGGGAGAATTCATTCATATCATTGCAGGGAAATTGATGGAAATGGGACTGTCTGGTGACATAAGCCAAAATCAAAAGAGAAATATAACATTTCTCTAACATAAGATACAAGTTTCGGGCAAGTGATGGTGGCACATGCCTTTAATCCCAGCACTCGGGAGGCAGAGGCAGGTGGATCTCTGTGAGTTTGAGGTCAGCCTGGTCCACAGAGTGAGATCCAGGATAGGCACCAAAACTACACAGAGAAACCCTGTCTCAAAAAATAAAAAAAAAAAAGATACAAGTTTCAATAAAAAATTCTTTAAAAAACCATTTAAACAGCAGATAAAAACAAAAATTACATATTAAATAAAGTATGATATGTTTTAATGCCAACATATATTGTAAAATGTCCAAATCAAATTAAATATATCTCTTCAGATAACTGTCATTTCTTCTAGATAAAAACATTAAAGTCTTCTAAGTATTTGAAATATTATATTATTTGTATCTCTAGTCATTCCAATACCTCATTGCTCTCCAGAACTTATTTTTTTCTCCAGCCCTCTCACAACATCATATTCTAACCTATACTATTATCAACTTCCATAGGTCAGTCTTTTTATGATTAACATATGTATGAGGTTAAATGGCCCTTGTCTGTCTGGATCATTTTACTGATGGATTTCTTGAGTGCTATATAATATAAGCCATATAGATACCCATCTTTATCACGCAAGAAAATACCACATTATTTACTCCATGTATATTGCTTACGCTTCCCATTCACTAAGGTATTTGAATAAAGACCACTGATAGCATAAAATAACCATAAACACACAAACACAAATGAATAATTAGGGGTTTGTGGCTTAGAAAACACATTGACTTTATATTTTAAAGAAAGAAAGGAAAAGTTAGTAAGTGATGTTTCCTGCAGTAATTTCATTTGGTTTAAGAGTATTTATCCTTGTAAACATGGAGGTGCCTTAGGATTTCCTTACCTCATGCTCCTTACAAATCAAGTCATCTGAGGCATTATTGTTGACTTCTACACACACTGCTTTCAATCATGTATACTCAGTTATTAAACATGGGTGAATTGAGAATGTAATAAAAATTTAAATTAAATAAAGTTATAATAGATATTTAAAGATACCATGAGGGTTCATTAATATTATCATTTGTAATAAATAAAAAAAATTCTTGTGACATTGTTTATGGTGTTTATTGATGTAAGTACTTGATATATGCTATGAATATATCAAGTAGAAATCCATTTATAGATGAGGAATCTGAGGCTCAAAAGGAGTAATTAGCTTCTCCATAGTATATTAAATGGAATAGCAGGAATGAACATTTGAATCCCAGTTCTATTTCAATGCAAATCTGTCTTCTTTCCTCCAGTATTGCCACCACTACTTAAGGTTAGTCTTCAAACAGAAATACTTGAAAGCATGTGGTGTAGCAAACTCATTCCTTTGTCCCACAAGTGGCAGGATCATGTCCTATGCAGGGTTGCAGATTCTGCAGCGGCAGCTAGCTACAGTTGAGGCCAAACTATAGTTTACTAACCACGCATACCTATGGAAATTACTTAATCACTCACTAACTTAATTTTCTCCGTAAAGTGGAACTAGAAATTGATAGAACCTATTTCAAATGTTGCTGAGAGGATCAAGTAAGTCAGTTTCTAAATTACTTAGCAGAGGTTTGGACATGAGTTAGTATCTGAAATTAAAATCAGCATTATTATATGACCATGGGTGAAAAGATACAGTTCATTAAAAATGTCTGTCATTAAAAATTATCTTCATAAGACCATCAATCAGGTGTTAAGGGTGCAACACACATGTCACGTGTATTTATGAAATATTTGAGTACTTTTCACTGAGTAAGCCTGTGTTAGCAGAAAGATATCTACTCATACACACCAGTAGCAAAAAGACAGATGTACACATGTACAAGTAAAAAGTAGATATTATATGCACTTGAGTATTTGTAAACATTACTTCATTTGTTAGTGAAGGTTTCAGTTGCAGCTGCTCAAAAATGAAGGTAAGAAAATCTAATTTTTAATTTTGAAGATATGTCCACATAGATCATCTTTTATAATCATAGGTAGAATTTTTAGAGTGAAAGTCTGTGGAATTACCTACACTATTTTGTTCATTTGAGAAGCTATATCAGTTTGACATTTTGAAACATCACCCTATTTTCTACTAGGGTTTAGTTTTTGTTTTTAATAAGATCCCCTGAAATCATCTGAGTCTTAATTCTTTTGGGCATAATGTTTGGGAGTTGCATTATAGGAGCTCTATGGGTAACTATGTTAATTTCTACAAATAGTGTCAGTGATGAAAATGCAGTTGAGTGCCATTCCTGATATTTAATCATGTCATATTTAAACACTCAAGAGGGAAATGCATATGATTATCATGAGCCACAAAACCAAACAAATAAAATAAAGTCCAGTTATTTTTAGATTAGTTAACTAATACGCTCTCAATTTCCATTGCAATATTCTGGTTTAAATAGCCTATCCAGTTAAACACAGTGACAAAACATATCTATTCTCATGAGGATGGGTTTATCATTGCAGAGCATCATCATTTCTCTCTAGGCTGTTTAGGAAAATGGCCTCCTGAGCTCTTGAGCTTGTCGTTTAAAATAACCAAGGGAATCTACGCGAAGACTTTAATTAGAGAAATCTTTGTGATACTGTAATAAATATTATAGGAACATCTAAGTGATATTCATGTCAATCAAAAGTAATTTCATTAGAAATAAAGAACAATGAATCTTAATCAAATCTTACAATAAATAAATGAAAAATAATCCATGGCAAAGCAAGTCTGTTGTATGAACTATATAAAAATCTAACCTGAAATTATTTATTTTTCCTTAACCCATCTATACATATAGTTAATAAACAACTGCTAATAATATATTGGAAAATACTGTTAGACAGCTATGACACCTGATAGGCAATTTTCATGTCAAATATTGCCTTTTACTGGGGGAAGGAGATGATAAGAAAGGATTTTGCTATATATAATCCTGGCATGCTTGGAATTTACTTTGTAGATCAAGTAACTTTGAATTTTTAGGAATTTTCTGCCTTCACATCTTGCATTTTAGGGCTAAAGGCATGATCCAACAAGCCCAAATAAGAGCTCATTCTCAATATTTGAAATAATTATATTTTATTCAAACTTTAAAACAAGTGATTTGCAAGATGACAACTTCATATTTATACATCAAATCATAAAAGATAAGATATAAATTTATTTCTCATTAAGCAATAATGCATTACAGCTACACTAAATGAGCCATACTTTATGATAAATAATTCATCTATTTATTTTTATATTTATTAGCTTTGCATTTTAATATCTTGATTTGGTTTAACTAAAATGAATAAATATTTTATATTTCAATGTGCTACGTCACTAATGTTGTTTCTGTTTGTTTGAATTGTTTTAATTAGACTTTACAAAGTCAGTCAGCCTAAGGTATAGGAAATGAGACAAGTTCTTCAATGTTGATAATCAAACCAAGACCCCTGCTCCCTACCCCACATAGAAATCAAGTGCTGTTCACTCAACTATATCCACAGTCCTTAAAATGTTTGCATTTACATTGAAGTCTTGTTAGTAGTAGTAGTTGCTCAATCATAGCATTCAAATATTCCTGTTATTTGAAATGAATGATAAGTGAGTGATGTAAAATAATCCAGATGTGCCTCTACAGAAATAGCTGCTAAAGAGAAACAAGTTCTCCTTTATCATTCTTATTTCAATTTGTTTAGATAAATTCACTGCAAGACAGAGGAAGGCAGCATGCACTAATACTCTAAGTTCATTCACAGGACCCTCAGTTTAAAGGAACCTAGAGGACTTTCAGTTTAAAGCAACTGGGAAGCCAGAGACCTTACATTGTGAAAGCTAGGGAAAACTCTATCAAACATCAGTCTCTGTTACTATATCTGAATATCAATCCACATCATTATTATGAATCTACATTAAGTTATTTTGTTACTCAGATGGTATAACATATATAAAATCAGCACTTTGTGAAGTTTCCTTAATGCCCCAAAATTATGAAATGCTGGTATTAGTTTTATCACTAATATGAATTTGCCTGGAGTTAGGCACTATTCCATTGACAATGGTCCTGTCACTCTTCTTCCCATCTTTAATCAAAAAATAAATTGTTGAGGAGTAATTTCTTCCTCCTTATTAGCATTTTGAGTACATAGTTATTCTGCCCTCAGACCCACAGTCTCAGAACTCTATGGCCATAGATTCCAAAAAGATAGAACTTACATGTCAAATCATGACTTATGTAGGTGCCAGCTGACCTGCATTCTGTTTTATCTCCAAACGTTAACTGCAGTTGAGTCTATTTGTTCCCATTAGTTTTTCAATCTGAAGTATCTCCCTTTGTTGGCATAAGTTTCAGTGTTATGCATATTGACATGTGAAATGTGACCAATGCAGAAAAAAACCTGGGTATCTCATGAGATGCTATCATTCTTTTCAGATTATGTATGTTATATCTTCATGTCTCTGGACTGAATACCCCCAGAGACTATTAATAAGAGCACATATGCAATGAGCCACTTCAATCAATCATGCGTTCTCAAAGAAGATGATAATAATTTGGATCTATACTCCATTATCAATGCAGACTTTATAAGCAAAAGCAGGTGTGTGCACAAATGTATTTACTTAATGACACTTACTATGTTGACAGTTTCTTCCCATATACTCTCCTGGGCATTCGCAGGAATAGTTAGCAACGAGGTCTGTACATATCCCACCATTTCTACAAGGCTCAGCTTCACATTCATTTATATCTGAGGCAAAAGGAACAAAAGGAGAGAGTTATTGACACAAGTAAGTGGATGTTAGAAAATATAGGAATCTTAAACACAGTATCTGAATAGTGGTGCTCCTTCGAGCTTATGTGCACAAATTTCCATAACACAAATGCTGCTTATGCCAATATTTCATTCTAAAAAATTAAATCAATTTCAAATACAACTGAGAATCCATATGAAAGACCAGCAGACTTAAACCATTCCCAAATTCTGAAAATAAATATGAGTAGTTTGGGGAAATATTTGGTGCATTCATAGAATTAAATCAAACAAATTAACTCTGATGGAGAAATGAATTGGTTTCTCTTACAAGATCTCAAATCCATCCTGCAGCAATAACTGCCAATTAACACTGTCTCATTTCATCTTCATTCATTAAAATTCTAACTGACAGAGAGAGGTTTTAGTTTCTAAATAGTTTGCCTTTGATGAGAAGCAAATTAGAGTTAATAGCTAAAGCTCATTACATGTAAAGTGTAATAAGTATAAATGATGATCACTTCCTAATCTCATTCATGATTTTCTAAAAGTTAGGGTAACTAGAGGGACTTACCTTTGCTATATCATCATTATACATGAGGGAAAATCATGCAAAACAGAAACCATTCAATGATTTACAATAATTTCCATGCCAGTTTTGGACAACAGAAAAATTAATGTGAGTTTTTAAAATGTATTTTGCTTTTTCTTTCGGTGTCTTTGTGCATGTATATTTACATGTATATGTTGCAAGATATTTGATTACATGGTGTAAAAATATGATACTGTATTTGGTTTAATAAAAAGCTAAATGACCAATACCTAGGCAAAAGGTATAGTCAGGACTTTTGGACAGAGAGAGTTCTGGGAAGAAGAAAGGCAAAGTCACCAGTCAGACTAGAGGGACTAAGACATGTAAGAGGATAGGTAACAGCCACAAGTCATGTGGCAACATGTGGATATATGTGGCCAGATGAGCATCATATGTAGTAGGCTTTTTCTTGGGGCTACCAGCTCACAAAAAAAAAATGACACAGGGGCTTATTAGTTGTGAAAGCTCGACCTATAACTTAGGCTTATTTCTAATTAGCTCTTATAACTTAAATTAACCAATTTCTATTCATCTACATGTATATAAAACTGACATACATAATCTCCATCAACATAAGTATGGACTGTGTACTGTAAAATATATGTATGTTACTTTTGAAAGTTTGTGTGTTTTTAGAGCAAGGGGACCAGACACCAATGAAAATATGTGGCCTAGGTGATCCAGTCTCTCAAAGGGTCTGTGTTGAAGTTTCCTCAGAGTTCTACATCCAAAAAAGCTTTAAGGCTGCTGGATAAGATGGTCCAGCCTCACAGACTATTCTAACCAGGACTACAGATAAGCCTTGCTCTTTCCCATTGCACAGAGACTAGACAGAAAATGTTATAGTTAGTTTTTCCAGGATGTGACCATTATCTCAGTTTTTTCAGGGTTCTCCAAAGATACCATCAACCCCATTCAACAGGAAGCAGTCTAGAAAGCATGATACCCACATTCACAAAAGGTTGGGTTAGTGGGTTTTTTTTGTCATTCTATGAGTTATGGATGTTTGTCATCATTTAGGGAGCGTTGATAACAAGTTACTACTGATCATGGTCAGGAAAAAAGCTGAACAAAGGAGATTAGATTCAATGATCTCTTTCTGAAGGAAAAATTGAAGATGTATTATAAAAATGATGGGAAGAAAGGGTAGATTGTTGAGTCTATTTTTCAACAACCACTAGTCTCAAATATTTTACATTGGTATGGTTTTTATGTATATAGATACAAATTTAAGGTTGTTTTAGTCATAATGTATGTGTGTGTGTGTGTGTCTACTTTTGTTTAAGGTATTGTATCTATGCAGCACATTTAAAATGTAAATTTTAGTCCTTGGAAGCTATTTAAGTTAATAAAAAAAGACAGGTTAATATTTATCTATAACAATCAAACATATAGTCATGTTGATTTGTTGTCAAGGTCATACAGAGATGTGTTTTAGATAGATATGTGATCTTCAAATACGTCAAAGACCTACAGAATATGGAATTTAAAAGGTTATAAGATAAAGCAAGACACATCTGCTCCTGGCAGCACCAATTTACTTCAAAAAATAATGATGGGCATTGAAGAACCTCCATATGGAGTTTGCTTTCATTGTGACAAAAGCCAGCCACTGGGTGAGAAACTGCCTTTGCCTTGACTACTGACAGTATGCTGTCCAAATTGGACAAGCAGGCCACAGAAGAAAGCTTCTGCAGAACTTTGCCAAAACAAGGTGGGACAGTCCTTCAAAATTCCTGCTTCACGGAAAAATCTGTCAGATTTATGTCTGTAGGCTGAAGATGGATGTCCCCAACATTACAGAGGAACCTTGGGGTGATTTTCCAGGCATTCAGATGTCTCTGTCATTTCTTAGTTTTGGAAGTTGCTTACTCTGCACCCTCTGTTTATTTAGGCAATATTATACCCTTCTGGAGTCTTTGATGGAGTAGAAGACTAGATGGTTATAGTTTTAGAGTTAGGATAGAAGGTAAATTAGGTACAAAACTATGGACTCATCAGGATAGAATGAATAATGGAATATTTTTCTCTGAATTTGCCACATGTAAATGGACTGGGTACTGTAAATGTAATTCTGACTTGATAATTGTTCTTATTGAATATAGTTTCATTATGTTAGAGTTAAAACCCTTCCCTTTTTATTTAGACAAAAAGTGAGAAATACTGCATGATATTTGATCACACTGTGTAATGATGTGTCACTGTGATTGGTTTAACAGAAAGCTAAGCAGCTCATAGCTAGGCAGGAAATATGGCCAGGCCTTCTGGACAGAGAGAGCTCTGGAAAAAGAAAGACAGGATCACCAGCTTGGAGCAGAGGAAGAAAGACAAGAAGGTGGAGAGATAAAAGCAACAAGTCATGTGGCAACACGCAGGTGAATAAGAACAGGTTAAGTTATACGAGTGAGTTAAAAACAAACTAAGGTATAAGCCAAGCTTTCGTAATAGATAAGAAGTCTTTGTGTCATTTTTTTTTTTTTTTTTTTTTTTTTTTTTTGGTGAGCCGGCTGCTCAAAGAAAAAGCCTGATACATGTATGTATCCACGTCTTTGTGCATGCATGCATATATGCATTTGATTACAGTGTGGATGTCAGCTAGGAGAGGGTGCTTGATGCTTGATTTCCTTTTTTTTTTTTTTTTTTTTAAAGGATCAGTCGTGAGCTTGCTGCTGTGGGTGCTGAGAACCCTGCCACACTTTCCGAAAGAAGAGCAAGCACTCCGAATCCCTGAACCATCTTTCCATTGAATTTTCTGTTTTTTGAATCTGATGGAATTCTCAGCTTTTTTTTTTTATCTTATCTCAATTTCATTTTTAGTGTGATGAAAATCACTGTACTGTTCATTTTATTGTAAGTTGATCAGAGTTGGCTCCTCTGTGACCTGCCCGACATGTCTTTCTCAGTATCATATCTACTGAAACTTGTCCTTGATGATCTTATGTCAATGGCGGATAAATTAAAGCGTCACTTCTAAGACTGTATCATTTGTTTTATGAAGTGAGACATAAAATGGTATTTCTTTATATACAGAAATATAGAAGAAACTGAGTGCTATGTCAGAAGAAGACCAATTAAGAAAAATATAATTTGATTTTGGATTTGAGGGGCAATTTAATTAATGTAAATGAAGACAAGATATAGATGTTATTTCCAAGCAGGAGGCCTAACTCTGAAGATACAAAACTGTGTTCATGTGCACAAACTTTCCACATTTGAAGGGCATCTAAAGAAACAAGGAAGGGAACAGATTACAAGGACCACTTGTTGCCATCTGACTAATTTGATCATATGTCTTAGCATTGCAGACTTAGAGCAGGACAGGACAGTTTCCTCTTACACTTCCTGTTTTGACAGTGCTAATGAAGCCTTTCTGCCGTAGGTTTCACAAATAAACAGGACAGCTGTGGGAACCAATTTCAGGTTCGACATTAATAGTTATAATATATAATCTCACTTTTTGAGTAGAAGACATTGAATATTTTCATTTTAAGTTTCAAATACCCCACTGCAGCTAAATCAAACATTGTTGGTGCTTTGATTTTTAGAATAATGGAATTTTCATCACTGACAATATGAGAATAACCAGGATTTTACATGTTAGCAATGATAGGCATACACTACTCTCTTTGTTTCACCAATATTCCCGTGTTTGCCCAATAAATAGCGTTATCAATATGTGAATGTGAATCAAAGAGACAAATAATCTTTTAAAACTCTCAACTGTATGTAGCTTTAGGCATATTGATAATTATTAACAAAACAAATTTATAATCAAGGTTATCGGATCCTTCAAAAGCAAGTCAACATCATTATCCAGAGATTAAAATCGGATTGTTACACCTGCTGAACTTAAAATGTTTTATAGACATACCCCAACTATGACAACAAGGTACTTAAATGTATACTTCCCATGTTTTTAAAACACAAAATGCATTTAAAGCCAAAATTCATAAAAACTCTTAAATAGATGATACATTTAATACAATAGAAAATTTAGCAAATCATCCCATGTGTACTTATCTAGTAACATGCAGGATTAAAGAGCAGACAGCAATTACCCAGAAATGCTTATGTATTAGTGTAATGCAGCTCTTTCAATGATGAAGGCTATTTGCACTGTGATTAACATTGCCAGCAGTCTAAATGAAAACTGACCTCAATTTGTGCAAATCATGTTTAATTAAAGACTGGATAGAAATGTTCATGGGATACAATGTAGTGGAATGAAAATTAAATCTGTATAATAGATTGCATGCATTTATTTTTGTCACAGATCAAGTCATTATCATTTTCAGAAAAAAAAGTCCACATCTATTTTCAATATAGTGAAATGGGGATTATATTTGTATCAAAGAAATACTTGACAGTGTAGTTATTACTTCATGTAAATAAGAATTCCAATACT